AAAAAAAAAAAAAGTTCATAACAGTATATTCCTTAAAAGCCAAAAAGCAGAAACAGCGCAAATATCCATCAACTGACAGATTTTTAAAGTGCTGTATTTCCAAACAATGGAATATTAATTCAGTCACAAAAAGGAATGATGTATTGATACATGCTGGTATGGATAAACCTTGAAAACATTATGCTAAGTGAAACAAACCAGACACAAAAGGATACATATACTATTACACTGATATGAAATGTCCAGAACAAGCAAATTTGGAGACAAAAAGTAGATTCATGGTGGCCAAGGGCTGAAGGGAGAAGAAAATGAAGAGTGACATAACAGTAATTGAGTTTCTTTTGGAGATAATGAAAACCTGAAATCAGATAGTGTGAATATACTAAAAATCGCTAAATTATACACTTTCAAAGAGTGCAATTTATGGTATGTAAATTGTATCCCTAAAAAGGTATGAAAAAGTATCTAGAAAAAAAATCAGGTAAGGCAGATTTCTCTAAATTAGTATGCTAACATACAAATAAAACCATGTACAAAAATTAGCTGGGCATGGTGGCACATGCCTATAGTCCCAGCTACTCGGAGGCTGAGGCAGGAGAATTGCTTGAACCCAGGAGGCGGAGGTTGTGGTGAGCCGAGATCATGCCATTGCACTCCAGCCTGGGTAACAAGAGCGAAACCCCGTCTCAAAAAAAATAAAAAATAAAAACAAATAAAACCATACATATATATCACTTCAAAAACTGTCAATTCTCCTAACCACCAAAGACTAACCTATTCCTCACCATTAATAAATAAGGCCTTGTCTCAAGGGCCTGAGCCAGAGCAGAGCTTCTCTAACTTACATCACTGAACTCCAGAGGTAAACTCTCAGTGGGCTGAAGCTCAGCAGCACTCAAGTACAGATCCATGGGGCCGGCTTCCAGATCGTCTGGCACAGACAGTACCTGCTCGGGCTTATACATCTGAGGAGGCAACTGGAAATGGAGTGGGCAGCAGGGATCCTCAGAGAGGCTTACAGGAACAGGTTTGTTGCAGGGTACCTCTTCAGATCCCTGGCAGCACTTGAAGAGAACCTGATTCGTATCCTGACAAATATCTGTAGAAATATGGTCAAGGGAAATAAAGCACAATCTATCGAAAGCATAAAATATAAATAGCATGCTCTGCCACGTAAAACTTAAGGTCTGGACTATACAAGATAAATTTCAGCTACATTTGATACAAAATACCAAATGTAGTTAGCAATTTTTAAAGTTACTTCTCAAAATAAATGTCATTTACTAGCATCAAATTCTAGCTCTACCAGTAATTTAAAACTAGTCTCCAACCTCCTTTTCAGGATCCTAGTCATTTAAACTAGACACTAATCCATTCTCCCTTAAGCAAGTAGCAATAACACTCCCAGGAACACACACCTGTCCAGAATAAACACTGTAGTGGCAAATGCAAATAGCCTTGAAAATGCCCCCCACACAGCCCTTCCAAAGAGTCAAGAAATACAACGTGTCTGCTCCCTTAGCAGGCTGGCAAATTTTTCAACAGTTTCTTGGACCTTGTTTCCAAAGATGACTACATGATAAATTCATTTCAAGCACATTGGAATAGGGGAAAACAGCTCTAGCAAAGTCACTAGGTATCATATACTGACAAGAAATTAAATATCAATGCTTTTTGTTTTTTGGGGGAGTGTGGTAGTTCAGGGGAGCCCTTTTCTGATCCTAAAGGAAGAAGAAAATTTTGCTTATGAAGGCCCACTGAAAAAAAAAAAAGTACTCCAGAAACACTGCAAGGACTCTACAACAACTTTTGTTAAAGGTAGAAGGGCTTTATTTCCAAGTTAGCAAAGAAGCTCTGTAGGATGAATCAAAATCAAGATCATGATTAGATACAATAAAATTCAAGTTACTCTACAAAACACATTTTATGCAAGTGCTACCATTTCTTGAAATCTTAACTACCTGATTATTTTTCTAGATTAATAAGCATTATTTTAAAATTAGACTTATTTTTAATCAGAAAACACAATTTTTCTATAAACTGACAGTAGCTGGATTATGGAATTGTAATCTTAAAAATAAAAAATCTAATTATTTTTTTTTGTTTTTTTGTTTTATTTTTTTTGAGGCAGAGTTTTGCTCTTGTTGCCCAGGCTGGAGTGTAATGGCATGATCTCGGCTAACGGCAACCTCCGCCTCCCAGGTTCAAGCAATTCTCCTGCTTCAGCCTCCCAAATAGCTGGGATTACAGGCATGTGCCAACACACCTGGCAAATTTTGTATTTTTTGTAGAGACAGAGTTTCACCATGTTGGTCAGGCTGGTCTCAAACTCTTGACCTCAGGTGATCCACCCACATTGGCCTCCCAAAATGCTGGGATTAAAGGCATAAGCCACTGCACCTGGCCTACATTTTAATTTTTTAAACCATATAAACTTTCTTGAATAAAGCCATTACTTTCAATCCATACCTGGAAATAACTAAACTCTCAAGTAGGGTGTGACGGCTGTGACACTACCAACACTGTGGACCAGGTACATCTTTGTTGGAAGAAAGATGTATAGCAGCATTCCTGGCCTGTCAGTAGCACCTGTATCTCTGAGGTGTAACAACCAAAAATTTATCCACGCATTGCCAACTGGAAAACAAGATGGCCCCCAATTGAAAACCACTATTCTAAAGAAACAGAAGATGGTACAAAGCAAACAAGTATTTATTGAATGAATAACCAAATGAATAAACATATGAACCTAATGGGAACCATCAGATTTGCACTATATGCTTAAACCTAAGCATATCTAATGTGCTTAAGAAGCCCATTCTTAAATTATTAATATTTAAAATGTTATCCATTAAATGTTTCAACCAGAACTTTTTTTTTTTTTTTAAGACAAAGTCTCGCTCTGTCACCCAGGCTGGAATGCAGTGGCACAATCTCAGCTCACTGCAACCTGGGCCTCCCAGGTTCAAGCAATTCTGTCTCAGCCTCCTGAGTAGCTGGGATTACAGGCGACCACCATCATACCCGGCTAATTTTTGTATTTTTAGTAGAAACAGGGTTTCGCCATGTTGGCCAGCAGGTCTCAAACAAACTCCTGACCTCAGGTGATCCACCCACCTCAGCCTCCCAAAGTGCTAGGACTGCAGGCGTGAGCCACCACACCCAGCCAAGAACTTTTTTCCGCTGGAATTCAGAGGACTTTCACAGGTCTCTTATGTTTTTAATACCACAATATCCTAAAAAAGGACTCCCCCCATCATCCTCCACCCACTTTCCTTTCAGATGGGGACAAAGAAGATAAGAAGGGAAAGGTTAACCTACAACTATAGTCTGGGTCCTTCACTTTCAGTCGAGTGCTGTCTCCATTAGACCACAGTAAAGAGTTAACAGGTCACCAATGGCAGTCGCATCTTTTTCTGGGATAAGGACTTAAGGAAGGGTAAGTAACTTAGACAACTATGGAGTGGAAAGGAAAGAGCATAAAAGGAAAAAAAAAAAAACACTTTCCTTCTCTTTTCAAATACATTTCATTTTCAACTTTGCTTTATATCTGAGTACAGTATTATGAAAAATATATAAAACAGTCTATACTATCTGTAAACTGAGATTTTTCCTTATAGAAGTAATTCAAGCTCACCTTAAAAAACCAAAAAAAAGGAACAGTGAAAAGGGGGCATTCATAACCACGCCATGCAAAAATTACCACATATCTGTGTTGTTCCCTCCCAGAATTTTGTTTCATGCAGTTTAGACACTATACAGATTGTCACTATCATTCTGCTGTAATTCATAAATTGTGTTAAATGTATTTAATGCCTGAAAATAATCCATATTATGTTGTGCTATGATTTATCTCCCTATTGTCCAGGAAGATAAAAAATTTTAAGGCTGTCTTTAGTTCAAACAATATTTTATGTAAAAATATTGGTCTGCATTCGATTATCTCTTCAAAATAAATTTCCAGGGGTAAAAATTACCATGTGAAGAAATAAGAATTACTTTCAAACTGCTTTCAAAAAGCTTATGTCAATTTATATTCCCATTGCCAATATTTAGAAGGGTTCATTTTACCATACTCTCACCTACTTTTGAAATTCACTGACTCATTCTAATTGCACATTTAAAATTTTATTTTAAAACAAACGTATGAACGAATATCAATTTTATAGATTTTAAATTTTCCTTGTTTTATTTCCTATTTACAGGTGACCTTTGAACAACACAGACTTGAATTGCACAGGTCCACTTACATATGCATTTTCTTCTGCCTCTGCCATCCTAGACAGTAACATTTCCCCTCCACTTACTCAACATAAAGACCGTAAGAATAAAAATCTTTATGATAATCCTTTCATTTAATAAACAGAAAAAAAATATTTTCCTATTTTCTTAGTAACATTTTCTTAGTTTATTATAAGAATACAATATATGACATATAAACATATAAAATACAGCATCAGGCAGCTATGTTGTTGATAAGGCTTCTGATCAACAGTAAGCTAAAGGTTACTAGCAGTTAAGTTTTGGAGGAATCAAAAATTATACACAAATTTTCAACTGTGTAGGGGGCTCAGCACCCCAATCCCCTGAATTGTTCAAAGGCCAACTGTATTTATAGTGAAGACATACACTTTTCAACTATTAGCCTTTTCCATCTTCTTTTAAATATGCCCAATTATTTTTTTTTTTTTTGAGATGGAGTCTCGCTCTGTCGCCCAGGCTGGAGTGCAGTGCTACAATCTTGGCTCACTGCAATTTCCCCCTCCCAGGTTCAAGCGATTCTCCTGCGTCAGCCTCCCGAGTAGCTGGGACTCTACAGGTGCACACCACGACCCTCAGCTAATTTTCATATTTTTAGAAGAGATGGGGTTTCACCATATTAGTCAGGCTGGTCTTGGAATCCTGACCTCATGATCTGCCCAACTCAGCCTCCCAAAGTGTTGAGATTACAGGCACGAAGCACCACTCCCAACCACCCAATTGTATTTTAAGCAATTTTTTTTTTTTTTTGAGACGGAGTCTCACTCTGTAACCCAGCCTGGAGTGCAGTGGTGTGATCTCATCTCAGTGTAACTTCCACCTCCCAGGTTCAAGCAATTCTCTGCCTCTGCCTCCCAAGTAGCTAGCTGGGATTACAGTAGCCCACCACCATGTCCGGCTAATTTTTTTTTTTGTATTTTTAGTAGAGACAGGGTTTCACCATCTTGACCAGGCTGCTCTTGAACTCCTGACCCCACTATCCATCCGCCTCCACCTCCTCAAGTGTTGCGATTACAGGCGTGAACCACCACACCCAGACTTTTATTTTTTTTTTTTTAAGAGACAAGGTCTTGCTCTGTCACCCAAGGTAGAATGCAGTGGCATGATCCTGCGGGTTCAAACTGGTAGGCTCAAAAGATGCTCCCAAGTAGCTGAGAATACAGACACATGCCACCACACCCAGTTAATTTTTATTTTTCCTTTAGAGATGTGGTCTCACTGTGTTGTCCAGGCTGTAAGCATTTATCTTTAGAGTTTTTCTTTACTTTGCACAACATTTCATAAATAAGAACCGTAATCCCTTATGAGACATCTGTTGTAGTAATTAATAAATTAGTAACATTTAATAAGCAAAACAAAAAATCAGCATCTTATCAAAAGACTAAGAAGAGGTTCTCCTCCTCTTCCTATTAAAGAAAGTAAGTTTTTAATTTCCAAATAATTGGCATTTCTTGCACACAAATGAAATCCAGCAACATTTAATTAAGCCTTTCACATAAAGATCCTATTTAATGGCTGGGCATGGTGGCTGACGCCTGTAAACCCAGAACTTTGGGAGGCCAAGGCGGGCAGATCACCTGAGATCAGGAATTTGAGACCAACCTAGCCAACACTGTGAAACCCCATCTCTACTAAAAACACAAAAATTAGCCAGGCATGGTATCACACACCTGTAATCCCAGCTACTCAGGAGGCTGAGGCACAAGAATTGCTTGCACCTGAGAGGCAGAGGTTGCAGTGAGCCGAGATCACACCAATGCACTCCAGCTTGCACAACGGAGCAAGACTCTGTTTCAAAAAAATATAGTAATAATGAAATTAAATAATTAGCCAGGCATGCTGGCACACATCACACATAGTCCCAGCTATTCAGAGGCTGAGGTCGGAGAACTGCGTGAGCCCAGGAGTTCAAGGCTGCAGTGAGCTATGACTGAGACACTGCATTCCAGCCTGGGCAACACAGCAAGACTCCATCTCAAAAAAATAAAAAAATAAAAATTTTAATTAAAAATAAAAGCCGGGTAATCCCAGCACTTTGGGAGGCCAAGGTAGGTGCATCACGAGGTCAAGAGATTGAGACCATACTGACCAACATGGTGAATCCCTGTCTCTACTAAAAATACAAAAATTAGCTGGGTGTGGTAGCACATGCCTGTAATCCCAGCTACTCAGGAGGTTGAGGCAGGAAAAGCACTTGAACCCAGAAGGCAGAGGTTGCAGTGGGCCAAGATGGTGCCAACTGCACTCCAGTCTGGCAACAGAGTGAGACTCTGTCTCAAAACAAACATCGGACACAGTGTCTCACGTCAGTAATCCCAACATTTTGGGAAGCCAAGGATGGTGGATCACCTGAGGTCAGGAGTTTGAGACCAACCTGGCCAACATGGTGAAACTCCATCTCTAATAATAATACAGAAATTAGTGGGGTGTGGTGGTGCACGCCTGTAATCCCAGCTACTCAGGAGGCTAAAGCAGAAGAATTGCTTGAACCCAGGAGGCAGAGGTTGCAGTGATCCATGATCACACCACTGCACTCCAGCCTAGGAGACAAACAAAACTCCGTCTCCAAAAAATAAAATAAAAATATAGAAGCCAGGGCCCTAACCACACAAAAGGATGATACTAGAAGTTCACACTGCAGAATCATCCTTTCAATTGGGGTGGAAAACCCACAGTAATTTTTTAAGGTTATAATTAGATTTAACAGCATTAGGGTTCTAATAAGCAGGTTAAATCAGAAACCTTGAGACAATTATAAACATTTTATGGATATTCTGGAACCCTAGTATTAAGGCTATAAATATTAGCCCACATCTATAACAAATGACTCATGTTTCTTTCTAATGAATTGACCACTACATTTCCAAAGTTATGAAATGGCCAACAGACCATAGAAAGATAATTCTTTAGGCTCCTGCTTGAAACCAACAGCTTCGGCAAACTGCTGGCCTTGATTCAGGGCCAAAGGAAAACAAAAACCTTCAATTAAGCAAACTAGCACAGAAATTCCCACTAGTCTTCAAACTAACAAATAAGAGCCTTAACAGGCAAAGTAAAAAGATACGGGTAAGGCAGTGTCTGGTCATTGGAAGAGACTGATTCGAACAACGAACATCATCTACGAAGGCCAAGCACCTCTGACTGGAACGAGTGGTATGGGCCTAAAATGGAAAAAGACAGATAAAATAGGCCCACAAAAGAACATACAAACAATTACGATGAAAATAGTCATATAAGAAAAGCACATCTTAAAGGCTAGAAAATTCAACATTTAACAAAAATAGATACACCAATATTATGCAAAAGACAAAAAACTAAAATCTAGCATATAATGAGTCAACCTTAATCCCAAATATACCTCTCCATATTCTAAAAGTGTGATATAGCCTAACTGTTTTAAGATTTTGTCTTTTACCAACAGAACACTTGGAAATTGTAACCTTAGGTGGAATATTAACAAATGAAACAAATAAAATTACTCTTAGTGAAACAGAGACCAAGGGTTTCAAAAACAAATTTCAGAATAATCACTTAACTTTTCTTCCTATTAACCTTACTTCCTGACATTCAATTGCTCCTATTCTACCTTCACACCTTTTAAAACAAGATTCCCAAACAATTTAGGCTTAACCTGTGTTTATTTCTGAAATGAAGAATATCTGAGCCGAAAGACTTAGAAACTTTTTCCAACTACTCAACATGCAGATAAGAATACTGAGGCCCAGAAAAGTAAAGCTGTCTGTACAGACAAAAAGCTCATCAGTGGGGACTGAGACTAGAATCCATGCCTCCTGACTTCAGGCTAAGTGCTTTCACTGTGCCTGTGAAGAAAGTCAGAAAGGTCAAGTGCAGAAAGTCAGATTTCAGATCCAAGACTGGACATAATGTTTTGATAATTACTCTAACTTTGTAAATAAAGTGAACATGGCCAGGCACGGTGGCTCACGCCTGTAATCCTAGCACTTTGGGAGGCCAAGGCAGGTGGATCATGAGGTCACATGCTTAAGACCAGCCTGGCCAACACAGTGAGACCCCGTCTCTACTCAAAATACAAAAAAATCAGCTGGGCGTGGTAGCAGCCACTCATAATCCCAGTTACTCGGGAGGCTAAGGCAGGAGAATCATTTGAACCTAGGAGGTGGAGGGTGCAGTAAGCCAAGGTCACACCATTGCACTCCAGCCTGAGCAACGGTGCAAGACTCTATCTCAAAAAAATAAAAATAAATAAAAATAAAGTATACACACAAATTATCTCAAAAAAATAAAAATAAATAAAGTATACACACAAATTATCTCAAAAAAATAAAAATAAATAAAAATAAAGTATACACACAAATTACCTGTTGGGTGGCACCATCTGTGGCCAGCATTCTGCGTTCTTTCAACTGCCTATGCAGTAAGGCTTCCACTCCATATCGCTGGCGGTATCGACGCAGACATTTTAATCGTTTTAAGTTCTCTCGTTCTTTGGCCAAAAGTCCCTCTGGGCCCGTCAGCAGACTACTGCCTAGAGTTAAAAGAGTCAAGATGTTATTTGCCAAGCAACCTATCGAGGTTACTTCTCCAAATCAACAAGTAAACAGAAAAATCTTTAGTAAAAAACAGGCAGTTTCAAAAGCAAATTTTCCCCCATTCCAGGTACGAAGACACAAATAAATCTAACTACAGTCATGTGCTATATATGACCAATTTTTAATCAATCATGGACCATATATACTATGGTGGTCCCATAAGATTATAACAAAGCTAGGCCGGGCGTGGTGGCTCAAGCCTGTAATCCCAGCACTTTGGGAGGCCGAGGCGGGTGGATCACGAGGTCAAGAGATCGAGACCATCCTGGTCAACATGGTGAAACCCCGTCTCTACTAAAAATACAAAAAATTAGCTGGGCATGGTGGCGTGTGCCTATAATCCCAGCTACTCAGGAGGCTGAGGCAGGAGAATTGCCTGAACCCAGGAGACGGAGGTTGCGGTGAGCCGAGATCGCGCCATTGCACTCCAGCCTGGGTAACAAGAGCGAAACTCCATCTCAAAAAAAAAAAAAAAAAAGATTATAACAAAGCTGAAAAATTCTTATTGCGTAGTGACATCATAGCTTAACTCACACATTTGTGGAGATGCTGGTGACCAAACCTACTGCACTGCCAGTTGTGTAAAAGTCTAGCACATAACAATTATGCACAGTACATAATATTTGGTAATGAACAACTGTGTTACTGGTTTATGCATTTACGATATATTATTTATCCTTAGAATGTTCTCCACTCTATTTTTAAAAAGTTAAATGTAAAACAGCCTCAGGCAGGTCTCTCAGAAGTTACTGCAGAAGGTATCGTTGCCATGAGATGACAGCTTGCTGCATGTGATTGTCCCTGAAGACCTTACACTGGGACAAGATGTGGAGGTGGAAGACAATGACACTAGGCCCAGGTAGGCTAGGTGAATGTATGTGTTTGCACCTTAGTTCCTAACAAAAGTTTAAAAGTTTTTTTTTTTTTTAAAGAAAAAAATTAAAACTAGAAAAGCTTATAGGGATATAAAGAAAACATTTTTGTGCAGCCGTACAATGTGTTTGTGTTTTAAGCTAAGTGTTATTATAGAGTCCAGAAGTTTAAAAAAAAAAAAAAATTTAAGTTTATAAAGGCCAGGTACAGTGGCTCATCCCTGTAATCAATCCGAGCACTTTGGGAAGCCAAGGTAGAAGGGTCACTTGAGCACAGGAGTTCAAGACCAACCTGAGTAACATAGCAACACTCCGTCTCTACAAAGATTTAAAAATAGCTGATTGAGTATGGTGGTGCATCTGCAGTTCTAGCTACTCAGGAGGCTGAGCCAGGATAGCTTAAGTCCACGAGTTCAAGGCTGCAGTGAGCAAGGATCATGCCACTGCACTCCAGACTGAGTGACAGAGCAAGATTCTGTCTTTAAAAAAAAAAAAAAAAAAATTATAGCCCAGGTGCAATGGTTCACGCCTATAATCCCAGAACTTTGGGAGACCTAGGTGGGTGGATTGCTTGGGGTCAGGAGTTCAAGACCAGCCCAGCTAATGGCAAAACCCTATCACTACTAAAAATTTAAAAATTAGCACACGCCTGTAATCACAAATACTCAGGAAGCTGAGGTGGCTTGAACCTTCGGAGGCAGAGAATTGCTTGAACCGAGGAGGCAGTGGTTGCAGTGAGCTGAGATGGCATCACTGCACTTCAGTCTGGGCAGTAGAGCAAGACTGCATGTTTGTCTCAATTAAAAAAAAAAAGTTTATAAAGTAAACAAGTTTGAGTAAGCTAAGGTTAATTTATTATTGAAGAATTTTTCAAATAAGTTTAGTATAGCCTAAGTGTACAGTACTTAAAACATCTACAGTAGTAAATAATAATGTGCTAGGCCTTCCCGCTGACTCACCACTCACTCACATGCCCAAAACAACTTCCAGTCCTACAAGCTCCATTCATGCGATAAGCCATTTTTAAAATCTTTTATGCCATAACTTCAACTGTACCTTTTCTATGTTTAGATGTGTTTAGGTACACACTTACCACTGTGTTACAACTGCCCACAGTATTCAGTACAGTAACATCTTTCTAGGTTTGCAGCCTAGGTATGGTGCAGGCTATAACCACCTAGGTTAGCCTAAGACACTCTATGAAGTTTGAATGATAAAAATCGCCTAACTCCAAAAGAAAAAAAAAAAAATGCCTAACAACATATGTATCCCCATCATTAAGCGACACAGGACTATACTGCCAAATCCACACATTAAACCCACAACAGCTTGCTGAATTGGCATAAAACTTGCCTAGAGCTTCATGTTCCACTTTGCGATTATGTAAGTACCGGCGCTTCTTCTCCTTGAGCAGATGCTGAAGTCGTTTAAACTGATCAATGTACAAAGACTGTAAACGAATTAGCTTCTCACGCATAATCAGGGCTACTTCTTCTGCCGTGTAGACACCAGCATGTCTGGAATAAAACAGAATTCAGCAAAGCCTAAGAAAATAATAATAAAACCCAAGTTTAAAAGAGTAGAGATGCGAGACTAAGTTTGTTATTTAACAAGTTCGGTACTGAGATAGTCACCTTAACATAATGTTTTCACAAACTATTTTATTATTCAAGTGGTACTTAAATAAAAGAGAAAATCTCCAAGAAAGAACACTAATCTGTGATTTCACAAAATGGGGGAAAAGAAATGTCTTACTATTTTTCACAGTTATTTGCATTATATTAGAGTCCAGCCTGGCTAACACGGCAAAATCCTGTCTCTAATGAAAACACAAAAATCAGCTGGGCATGGTGGTGGGCGCCTGTAATCCCAGCTACTAGGGAGTCTAGGACAGGAGAATTGCTTGAACCCGGAGGCAGAGGTTGCAGCGAGCTGAGATCGCACTGCAGCATTCTAGCCTGGGCAAGAGAGAGAGATTCCATCTCAAAAAATAAAAAAAGAACCTCCAAAAGTTATGCTAGTGATTAATGTGTGGAAGGAAGACTGTTCCCTGGCTCTGATTTATGTAATTCAAAACGAAGAAATGAGGCCAGGTGCAGTGGCTTACGCCTATAATCCCAGCACTTTGGAAGGCCAAGGCGGACAGATTGCTTGAGCCTGGGAGTTCAAGACCAGTCTGGGTTACACCATGGTAAAACCCCGTCAATACAAAAAATACAAAAGTTAGCTGAGCACGGTAGTTTATACCTGTAGTCCCAGCTACTCAAGAGGCTGAGGTGAGAGGATCACTTGAGCCTGGGAGTGGGAGGCTGCAGTGAACTAAGATGGCACCACCGTACCCCAGCCTGGGTGACAGAGCAAGACCATGTCTCAAAAAAAAAATTGGGCACAGTGGCTCATGCCCGAAATCCCAACACTTTGGGAGGCCAAAGCAGGTGGATCAAGAGGTCAGGAGCACGAGGTCAGAAGTTCAAGACCAAGCTGGCCAAGATGGTGAAAACCCCATCTCAATTAAAAATACAAAAATTAGGTGGGTGTGGTGGTGGGCAACTGCAATCCCAGCTACTCCAGAGGCTAGGATTACAGGCGCTTGCTACCACACCCAGCTAATTTTTGTATTTTTAATAGAGATGGATCCAGTAGCTAGGATTACAGGTGCTTGCCACCATACCTGGCTAATTTTTGTATTTTTAATAGATATGGATTTTGCCATGTTGGCCAGGCTGGTCTTAGAACTCCTGGCCTCAGGTGATCCACCCACCTCAGCCTCCTAAAGTGCTGGGATTATAGGCATGAGCCACCACACCCGGCCCTTTGATGGTTTTATTTCAATGACTTAACAGCTGATTTTTAAAAATAAAGCATAGGCTGGGTGCAGTGGCTCACACCTGTAATCCCAGCACTTTGGAAGGCCGAGGTGGATGGATCATTTGAGGTCAGGAGTTTGAGACTATCCTGGGCAACAAGGGTGAAACCCTGTCTCTACTAAAAATAAAAAATTTTTTTAAATTAACAGAATAACATTGAATTTTTAAAATTCTGTTTCAACTCAAGCCTGTAATCCCAGCACTTTGGGAGGCCGAGGCAGGTGGATCACGAGGTCAAGAGATCGAGACCATCCTGGTCAACATGGTGAAACCCCGTCTCTACTAAAAATAC